ATAATATTTCATATTCCAATTTGTTATTGGAATATATTGACATTCCTGAATTTTCTAGAAAAAAGTAAGAGAGGTTCTTGTGATGGAGAAGTAAATATTTCCCTTCATTCTTAAAATCTGTACAATGATACTCTTAAAATTCTCTTCCATCAAATATATACAATTTGGCTAAATTGTATGATTTAAAGAATTCAGTCATTGTGAACCTATCAGGCTTTTCTTTTCATCTTAAGAATTTATGACTTAATGACTCCCCTCAAATTTTGGTACGCCAAACTAGGAATGATGTGTAACCATCGGTCAATCTCATATAAACAGCTGGACAACTTTTTAACCAAGTCACATTTCCTTATATAGGAAATTCCCATCTACAAAATGATAAAATGCCCCAAATGAAAACCCAAGGGATGCATAAATAGTCATTCTCTATAGTTTAATGGAATTGTCTAGTAATCCTCCCAAAATGTTCAGCAATTAGGAGCTTCAGTATCAGAGTTCTGAACATAATTTTGAGCCTCAGAATTTAACCAGTTTTGAGAACTTGGAGAGGTCCCAAAGAAGAGCAGTAAAAATAAACCATGGGTTAGAAAACTGGCCCTTATGAAGGAAGGAATGAAAATATTGACCATCAGCCTTATGTGTGGTGCATAGGGAAGTCTAGCCTTTACGGGAGAAGGCTAGGAGTTGAGTCCCATGGCGTGTGCTTGAATGATGGAAAGCAATACAGCCCAGTGGGTCAAGGCAAGAGAGAAAGAGGCATGGCTTTTCCTTGCTCTGTGTATCTCTCCAGCAGGCTCCAGGAAGGTAAGACTAGACTCATATTTTTTCACCAGTGTAAACCCAGAGCCTAATACAGTACCCAGTCCAGAGTAAGCTCAATAAATGCTTGTTGAATAAAGACTAGATTGCATTCATTTCAGTGACTTATTGAAAGCTAACTTTTATTCACCCTTAGCAGAACAGAAATATTTGGGGAACCTCTAAAACACTTATATAGTAAGCTACAACTTTTATTTGTAATTGCTACAAGTTTTAGTGAAAACAAAACCAGCGGCCAACCAGGTAGCATGGTGATTAAGTTCAGTGTGCTCCACTTTGGTGGCCTGGGGTTAGCAGGTTCACACCCCCAGTGTGGATTTACACCACCCATCCAGCCATGCTGTGGTGGCATCCCACATACAAAATAGAAGAAGATTGGCACAGATGTTAGCTGAGGGCCATGCTTCCTCACCAAAAACAAAACCAAACTTTAAAATGATAATTTCTAATGTTACTGAAGTCATTGGGTAATATGAAGAATAGATGGATGAAACAATGATGGGACATAATTAGGAGTCTACAGCAAGATCTTTTAAAATGAACTGGTAATTCTACTTTGGAAAATCAATCTTATGGAAATAATCCTAAACATAGAGAAAAACAACTGTCCTTTACAGCACAGCGTTATTTGTAACAGTAAAGACCTGGAGGCCATGTGAAGATCCCTGTAGAAAGGCATGCCCAGGGGAGAGTCATTCAACAGCAGCAAAGACAAGGTGCAGATCAGGCTGCAATACACATAGTAGCTTTGCTGTATTTAGGACGATTTCCAGGGGAACTGCTAAGGTCAAGAGCACTTGAAAAACTCCTAAAACATACTGCACATCTTCCAAATAAATAATTTGGAGGTTCCTAGTTGCTGAGGATTCTTATGTCTATAAAAACATAAAATGCAAATGAAAGTATCTTCTACCAGCTCCTTTTTTCCCTGTAAAGCTGTGAAACCAAATAGCCTTTGCTTGCAGAAAGCAACCGCCAATTTAATGAAAGAGACAGGGCAAGAGGACTCCTCTTCACTGGAGATTTATTTACTTGTAACAAAAGCTAAGGGGACCATATCTGTCAATTACGCCACTGTGTCTAGCTACAACATCCAAGTTCATAAAATCTTATTAAAGTTAATCTGTGTAGATTGGTTTTTCACACTAGCCTAATTTCCCCCATTCTTAGGAACTGTTCCAGTTGCAAAAGCCACCAGCTCACGGGAATCATCCTAAATCAAAGAGGCTACAGACTTGAAACACACGTGAGCCCTCCCTCCCTCTTTCTCCTCATGGTCACAGCACTCTACTCTCCTGAACCCAATATGGCCTCCCAATCCTTCTGCATCTGGAGAGCCAGCAGCTGTCAATCACACAACCTGAGAGATAAGGCTTTTCACCATCCTTGAATCCAAAAATAAGTCAGGAAATCCACTTCCCTGGTACATTGAAAATTGATTGATTTCCCCACTGGCCAGTCAAAATAAGGGTGAATTGCTCCTTCAGAATCAAGAGTGAGTAGAAATTCAACATTCATCAGCTCTTCGAAAATATTCAACTACTAAAACATTTTTATTTAAAACATGTTTCTGTAGAAGCAACTAATGAAAGATAAGGACTATGTTATACCAAGAAAATAAGATGCTCCATAATATGTACAGTTTGTGTATATTTCTCTCAAAACATCACTGTTTGCCCTGATCCTTGCCAAAACACAATTTAAAGATCATCAGAGTGTGATCATCTGGGATATAGCCCTCAATATGTATAGAAATAATGAATTATTTCTTTCACATAACCAGAGATACTTGTAGATACAAGAAGCCAAGGGAATTTCCTCTAAAAAGATAATTCTAGAAAACTAGGTAGCATGCCACCCAGAATTGTTTAAAGTCCCCAAATACTTAACATTTGCTATCCCAAAGAATACTGAAAAATGGGTATGAAATACAACCAAACATATAAAGCTCCTCGGATATTCCCTGAGCCCATGCCATGTTTAAGTATACAACAATGTGGATTCGGAGGGCCCTTGCAAGAGCAGCCTTTGGGATCCCCACATCAAGCCAGGCTCAAGGCACTAAGTATGCCCAGTAGATATCTGACCAACACTCTTATTAGATTTCTCCCTCATAAATCTCATCTGGAAAATGCCAGAACAATAAAAACAAGCTCAGGCACAGAAAGAATCCCATTTTCCATATAAAATAGTATCTGCCTTTTCCCATGCTGATTCTGCAAGGCAGCTTATTTACAAATATATAAATAGCTGCAACTTTCCTCCAGTCTCATTGAAAAATCAAAATGGCACCATGCAAGGTTTCCTAGCGTACGTGGCTCCATGAGTGAAATGTGAGTGGCGACGAGCCAACCGACTTGACACTCGCTAGTCAGCTTGTCCAGATACCCTCCAGTTTCCTGTAGTGGAGGTACCAGGGTTCTGCCACACAGAGCTGAAGAATTCACTTACACTGATTGCCCAGGGATTGCAGAGCGACTTAGAGCCAAAGGTCAGAAAATAAATTTCAAGTCATACCTAATATTTATTATCACACATATGCAAAGGAGAACAGCATTGCCTAAACGTGGCAGCAAGTTTTCCAATGTAGCTACTTAATATTAGCTAAGTCTTCTTACATACAGGCTCAACGAATTTAGAATGATTTTACCCCAATCCTTTAGCCACCTGGTCAGAATTACACAGGTTTAAATCATCAGGAAGAGGGCAGGAGAGACAATGCATTGCAATTTTTGGAACAGAACTTATTGCCTTTCTTAAATTCATTAATTGAAGTTATCTACTAGTAGTTAAGAAACATCTACACCAATAAATACATGAACTATCTATGCGATACATATTGACTCTTCCTTACTGCATATGAACACCCAAAATGGACCCACTGTGCCCTGAGTGTTCAATGTCTGTATGTGAAGCACTAACAGCCCTGAGACAGGATAGGTCTGCACAGCTCCACCAGACAAGCTCCCACTCCATCCCCAATATCCACTCTCTTCCTAACACGCTCACTTCTCGCTGAGTGAGAGTGAGCAGTTTACTTTTGAGGAATCATATGGTTAAACTAAAAGTGCCTAAACTATCACAAAATAGAAGATTTAAAGAAATTTTTCTCAAGGAAAAAGTGAGTTAGGAACCTATTCATACAGAGCAGCTGAGGATAGGTAATGAGACGATTAAGGCTGTTTCCCTTTGAGAACTCAAATGCTGAGATTCGCAGCAACCCCCGGCTGGTAACTCGAATATCAGGCTACCCATCAGGAAGTGAAAACATTCATATATGTTCTCACATGAAAACATGTGTGCTGCGTATTAAACCAAACAGCATTCCGATGCTTTTTGCATTGCAGTTATTCATACACTGGAATGTTCACCTTGGGCTCAAAGACTAAACAGCAAGACCGTATGTACTGTACTTGCCTTCCCGATGACTCAGGCTTTCTGATCACTCTTTACCATCCCTAATCACATACAGCCACATGGGGCATTACGATTGCCGACAGGGTTGCTGACCAACTGTCAGTATTTAAATGGCAAGTGATTCTTTTTTTTTAATCTCAGGTTTATCAGTAGAAAAAAGACAGTAAAAATAATAAAGGAAACCTTTGGTAAATCTGTTTTGAAATGAAATGCGTATCAGGGCCAAAAAACCCCCCTGAAAAACAGTTTTTATTTACTATTTACTCTCTAATGAATTCCTAAGGGCTAAGTTCTTTCACTTTAATTTATCAGAAAGCATATCCACAGGCACGAAGCAGGCAGAAATAAATACAATGAAAATCAATCTTTTGTCTCTAAGGCTACATTGTGTCTTGTGTCTTCAAGTTCCCATCTAAAATCTAATTTGGGTTATGCTTACTTTAAACATAAACACTATTTCTTCAAAAATGTACTTAATTACTATTCTCTAAAGATTATGCCTCTATCTGTATGTGTAAATAGTATTCACACCATAGAACGAGATCAGGTTGCAAAGATTACATACAACAAATACACAAACAGCCCATTTACCACAACATTCAAGTGAGTATAAACTACTGAGGAGATTTTTTAGTTTTTAAATAAATTATTTGGAATCCCCTTAGAAAATAGTTTCTACATTACTATTTTACTAATTTGCTATTTTACTAATAATGCTGCTATAGTATTATTAAAATATAAAGAGAAATGATTATTTTACTTACATGGTATCTCTAATAAGAAGTGAATTTCCCAATTTGAAACAAGTGTGATCCCCTTCACAAAACACACGCCTCAGGGAAAAGCTCTCTCCCACATCAAAGCCTGTGAAACATGACAAACGATTCAATCCAGCAGTTTTAATAAATTTGCTAAACTCACCGAGATAGTGATTTTTCACTAGGATTTTTTGTTGTCTTTATCTATGGACAGATTTATTTCAAATAAAATGCTGTTCTTTGGGACCAGCAAAATTCCTTGATTTCATTTTTCTCCTTTTAGGATATAGGAGGATGAAATACGTTTCAAAAGACTCCAATATTAATTTGCTTTGACCCAGGAATTATCCTAAGCAAACAATCAGAGTAGTTCATTGTAGCAGCTCTGATAGCTAAAGATAGAAAATTAGTTAAATAAAAAATATTACAGCCATTCAATTGAAATCCAAGCAGCCTTTAAAAAAAAACCGTGCTTTAGAAGAATATATGTTGATATGGGGAAATGCTTGGATTTCAAATGCAATACATGTATTATGATTATGTGTGCATGTGTGGGGTTGGGGGGCTGGGGGTGGGGAAGTGAGAGAGAGAACGGAGGATGAAAGGAAGAAAGGGAAATAAAGATAGGAAGGTTACACCAAAATAGGAATCATGACTATATTTGGGTAGTGAGATCTTCTTTCTCATAAATTTTCTTTTTTAAAAATTTATGGACAATGGACATGACTTTTACAATTTTAAATAACTTTTTTCTCCAAGAACTTGAGTCGTTGTTGGTCTTGGCTTAAACGATACAGAACTCTGGTCTCAGCATGTTTTCTACATCACCCATCTTCTTTGTTTCTAATTGTTTATATTGATGTTATCATCAAATTACAACATGAAAGAATCAGCTACAATATATAGTGCATGTTTGGTGATAATTTTTTACAAAATGCTTCTTAGTAAAGGATTATAATGCTTACCTGAAACTTCAAGTTCATCTCTGTTGTCTTGTGTAAACTGACGTCCCTCTGTTCTCAGTATAGGGCATTGTTTTTCTATTAAAAAAAAAAAGCATTGAGGATTTGCACTACATTTTCTATCATTTTTTTCAAATAAATTTGAATTACAGTACAATCAGAAACAAGACAAAATGGAAATAAATTAAGCCACCTTATTAAATATCTACAGAATGAGGATGAGAATATTACCCACCTCACAGTGTGTGTGGAGGATTACACTTGTTTATGTGTGTGAGGTGCTTAGCACAGTGCCTGGACACAGCGAATGCGCGTTAACATTAGCTATTATTATTGTAATCACTCTTATTCTAGCATTCTAATCCACAATACGATGGCATTTGGAGGCGGCCTTTGGGAGGTAATCACCTTCAGATGAGGTCACAGGAGTGGAGCCCCATGATGGGACTGCTGTCCTATGAGGGCATGGAGAGCCCCTTTTCTCTCTCTGCCATGTGAGGACACCAGTAAGAGCCCTCCCTGGAACTTGGCCATGCTGGCACCCTGCGCTTGGACTTCCCAGCTGCCTGAACTGTGTAAAATAAATGTTTGTTGTTGAAGCCACTTGGCTTATGGCACTCTTGTTAGAGCAGCCCGAACTAAGGCAGCCGCACAGAAGGAAGTTATTAAAATAAAATTAAAAGGCAAAAAGTGAAGACCTCTGCCATACAAAAATGGCCTATACTGAAAAAAATGAAATAAAATCATAAAGGAAATATTAATTATGTGTGAAGGCACTTAATTATATTCAAAGAAATAAAATATAAATTTGCTCTCCACTCAGGTGAACTTACATGTTCAATCCTAACACAACACACTAATGCAGTAGTATACACGCATACACTAATGTTTGATTATCTGGGGTATGTTTAATCCAACTGAGGCTAGATTCTAGGAATGTAACAGTCAGTTCAGACAAAATTGCAGCCAAATTTTAGAATATGCCATGGTAACTGTGTAAGTGGAGAGATCTCAAAATAAATTGATTAAATATTTTGGCTTGCAATCACAACCTTAATTCTCTACATCTAAAATTCATGTTTGGGCTTCATGACCTAAAAGTTTAATACAGAGGGGACATAAACTGCATAAAACCAAACTGTCTCCTGTTCTGAGAAGGTGGGAACTACACCAGATTCTCCAGGTCAACCGCTGGGCAACTCAGGCCCTCGTTTCACAAACGAACCACAGACTTCAGGGGCCGTGACAGGGCATCATCTGAATGCATTTAACCAGGAGAATTGAGCAGATTCTAAAGAGCGCTACTACTCAGATTTAAAAGCCACAATACACGTAAATGAAATTATAGCATGGAAAAACTTTAGGGACAACTTAGCTCCTTCGGAAACTCCTATCTCAGAGATCTTAACATGATTGCAGGTCCTAAATAATAGTAAGATTGGACATTTTCTAAACATTACCAACGTTTTATCTGAATTCATAGTCATTGTTACAAAAACCAAGCATCTCATCAAGATCTCTGCACTGAATAGCAGAGAACATCGTTGAGAGGAATTCAAGTCCTATGTTACTGAAGGCTAACCAAGGATTTAGACAGGAAGACTCAACATTGTTAAGAAGCCAATTCTCACTTTTACCTCTAGATTCAGTGTGATAACAAGTAAAATCCCAACATGTGCGTGTATGTGAAAACTGACAAGCTGAGTCTCAAATTTATATGGATCTCTAAAATACTAGAATAGCTAAGGCAAAATTGAAGAACAAGCTGGAGAACTCACACTATCAGATACCAGAAATTTTTATAATTTGATGCTGGTGCACATAAAGATAAACAGATCAATGGAACAGAGCAGAGAGTCCCAGAACAGACCTGTTCACATCTGGTCTCCGGATTTACCGCAAAAGGGCCACTGCAATTCAGTGGCAAAAGGGGGTCTTTTCAATAAACAGTTCTGGGTCAACTGGATCTCCACAGAGAAAAATACACAACCTCAACCCTTACCTCACACCACGCAAGGAATTGGAGATGACCTCAGACCTCAGCGTGAAAGGTAGAACAATAAAGGACCACAGAAAAATGTGAAATCTTCATGAACTTGAGGTAGCAAAGCTTTCTTAAAAGAGATACAGAAAGCACTAATTATAAAAGATTGATGAATTGGACTTCATTAAAATTAAAATCTTTATTAATCAAAAGGCAACATTAAAAGAGTGAAAAGGTAAGCCACAGACCAGGAGCCACAGACTACGGCACTGCATATATCCAATAAAGTATCATATCCAGAATATACAAAGAACTCTCACAAATCAATAAGAAAAAGATGGAAAACCTTATTTTGAAAATACTCAAAAAATGTACGCACTTCAGAAAAGAGAATATTCAAATTGGCAACCCGCAAATGGAAAGGTGCTCAACATCATTAGTAATCAGAGAAATTCAAAGTAAAACCACAATGAGATACCACCAAATGGATAAAAATTGAAGAACTGACAGCACCAAGTGTTGATGAGGACGTGGAGCAAGGAGAACTCTCCTGCGTTGCTTGTGGGAGCGGAAATCGGTACAATCACTTTAGAAAACTGTTTGGCATCATTTACTAACGTTAAATATACATGAACCCTATGACCTGGGAATGCAATGACCCAAGAGAAATGAGTACAAAAAATGAGTGTAAATGGCCCTTTAGAAGAGAATATTCATTATGGTATTACTCATATTAGTCGAAAACTGGAAACAACCCAAATGTTCATTGACAAGAGAATAAATGCATAAATTGTGGGATATACAATGAAAAACCATGGCAATAAAAAAAGAAGGAACTACTGATACATGCAACAACCTGGACGAATCTCACAGAGATAATATTAAGTGGAAAAAATACCATTCCCCAAAAAACACATACTGCATAATTCTTATATGAAATTCAAGGGGTTGTACAACTAATCTATGTCAAAGTACTGGTTACTTTGGTAGGGTGTCAACTGGGAGCAGACACAGGAAAGCCTTCTGGGCTTTGGAGATGTTCTATATTTTGATCTGGGGTGGTAGTTACACAGATATATAAACACATATGTAAAAATTCATTGCACTGTGCATCTAAGATTTGTTGACCTTAACGTGTAATACCTCAATAAAATGAGGAAAACAGTATGTCTATGAGAAAATAAGCTAAAAGTGATATTTGCAAAACAAATCAAAATCACATCAAACTTTCATAATGACTTTGAACAACTAAACGACTGTAATTAATGAGATTAAATTCTTCACAACAGTTGATGACTGGCAAAGCACATCTTCAGACGGCGGAAAGGGACTTCCCACTATGACACTTTCGTAACGAGGGGAAGGTATGCTGGCCTACTGCCAAGCTGGAAACAGTATATATCTCATTTAAATTCTTCCAGGGACTTAGTGAATATATGATGTCAAAGCAATAAACCTGTCTCTTTGATATGAATGGAATGCAACATTTCCAATGATATTTATGAAAGTATTTCTCCACTAAAGTGTTTAGTTTATGAAAATCAAATACAGCTTCATCTCTTTAGAATTTGTGCTTTGTTATGAAAAAGTGAGCAGAACCAATGAGAATTAAATGGTAACTCCTTGGAAGTGAGATTCAAGGCAGTCATCTGAACACATGAGCCTTAGGGATCCATCACCTTAAAACAGCAAGGCAGCAGAAGTGAACACAGGCTGGACATGCTCACTTCTCTAAGTATTGGCACATACAACTGAACATGAAGTAAAGCACGCTTTTTGAGTAAATGTACATTATCTTGAAGAACTACTGGTAGTTCAAACATCCAAGTTCAAACATCCAAACATCCTGTCAGGTGGACAGAGGAGAATCTACAGCAGTGTCACTTCAGAGGCTCTTGGAATGTTCCAGAATCGCAAACTTCACCACAGAAGATGCACTACTTAGGGACCCTTCATCAACAGGCCTTCTGAAAACCAAATGCATATGTTTTTGACAAACTCACGCTAAGATGTCGTTAGTGATTGTCAGACCCACTTCCCTCCTGACTCGGCTTGAGGGACCCTGGCAGCATCCAGGGCTGGAAGGAGGTTGAAAGGGGGCAAAGGAGGCAGAAAGGAAGGCTGATAGGTCAGATGCGGGTCAATTATCTGGATTTTATCTAGATAGCCTCAAAAACTACGTACTTTTCAAAAGATTTTTACCCTTCTCTCCCTCTAAAAATCGGAATCCTGAGGCCCTAAGAACAAATCATTCAAGAGGCCCATGTGAGTGTCTGTAAATCCCAGAGCCAGTGGATGGCAGAGCTGAAAGAAAGCCCAAGGTTCCTATGGTCCAACTTATTTTTCTCTGCTTTGAACATTATGTCTCAAAACCATATTCTAAACAAAATAATAGAGTACCTGTGAAATGCTCCTGATTCTGTAGTAGAAATGCATTTTGTTCCCACTCTCAGTCTGAAACATGCGCTTTAAAAAACTCGCCTTTCCCCTCGATCTCTAAATCCTGCTCTTTTCTTACCTGCTCACTTGCCCTCCTGTTGGACTGCTAAGCACTCTAGCCTGGAGATTAGATGCCATGTCTTCTGAAACATATTTGTCCTATCACAGTGCTGGTATTCTCTATACTCACTCATAGAAAGGACTGTGGATTAACAGAGTAATTACTGAAGGCATGTTGAATTCCCCCCTTCTCCTCTCAAAAAGCTAAGAAGCCCAGACCAGTCAGCATCTATAATTTAACTTTTCGTTGTTTCAACTGATTTAATACAGACAAGATTTGTGAGTGTTGCTGATGCTCATACTGAAAATGGACCCATCACTCTCTGTGGCCACAGAGGCCTCCGGCCTTAGGAAAAGCCAGGAGGTGAGGTCATTCCTTGTGCGCTACAGACACAAGGGGAAAATTAAAATTAGAGGCATCATGAAAAATAAATGTGAACGTGTTTTATTATCCTCTTTACAGTTTGTTGAGGGCTCTTAGTACGACCTGAGCTATTTATATACAACTTCACCGATGGCAGGGAAAGAAAATGTATTATTTGTCTACTGGAGATACCATTTTTATTTTAACTTTGCTAAAGTGTACACATTTCCA